CCCGCTCCTCACCTCCAGCTTCCCGTTACTCCGGCCAGCCACGATCAGGTTCCCTTGCAGGTCCAGGCTCCAGACAGAGCTCTCCAAGTCTCCTCCCCAGGAAGGAAGCGGTGATGATTTGTCAAATCCCGTAAAAGATTCGTCCCCCAGGCTCCTCCTGCGGCTGCTGCAGCCTCCCCCCTCGGTCCCACAGCCCAGTGAGCGGGGGCTGCCGCTCCCCACGCAGAAGCCGGCCTGTCCGTGCGGGGCCGAGAGGCCGGTGAAGTTCATGCAGTTGGAGGTGCTGTGCTCCTCGTACACTTTACCCACCAGGCTGCTGAAGTCATACCCTTCCGAAGTCTCCTTCTGGCGACCGCCCACAGCACGGAGCCGCGTCTCTGACTCGGCCACCTTCACCTGCTCGGAGAAGTTGGTGTCAATGAGAGATGTGAGGTCTGGCTGGTCGCAGAAAAGCGGAGGCTGGGGCGGGCTGAGCATCCTTTTGAGCTGGTGACTGTTCTCAAAGGAGTCATCCAGACCATTCTTGCCATCCGAACTATGATCCCAGCTTTCCTGGTAATCAAAAATGCCACTGCTGTCTCTTCGCAACCTGAAACCCAGAAATAAAAGATCAGTCCTCCCACCTCTGCTGCCAGAGGTTCTGATTTCCTCCTGAGGGATCTCCCCGCAGCTGAGTGAGTTGGTACATACGCCGCATACCTCGGTTTGGGAATAACGGTGAGGCAGTCGCCAGTCTGAGCGTCCCACACGCGGATCTGGCCCACCAGGCAGCAGCTGACAAGCAGCATCCCATCACTGGCCAGACATTCAATGTCCTGGGGAGGAAGAACAAGCACAGCTGAGGGCGCAGCACCACCGAGGCCTCTGACAATCACCTTGCGTGTGGCTGAGGAGCTATACAGATGATAAATTTTATATCAAAACTACGTGGCTGGCTTAGCAACCTGGGGATACTCTGAGAACAGGAGGATATCCTTGCCCAGAGTCCCAGATGTGCACTAGACAGCTGCAAATCAGAGAGACTCCGGCTGTCTTCCCTTTCCTTGTCAAAATACAGCCCAAAGAGATGGTAGGGTCAGGAGCAGGGGTGCAGCTTCTCTGGAAGACACAGCACTGTGTTTCAAACTCCACCTGACTGGGTGTTTGAGTGCCTTGTTTCATCTCAGAATGGGAAGAAACAGCCTTCCCCTCAAGAAAAATGAGTGAACTGAGCAGCAACACACTTCTGTGCAAACCCACAGATTATTTTAGCACTGGGATCAACATTTAACAGCTCAAACGTACGCACTAACTTGTAGGAAGCAGGGAAAAAAGGATCCAGTAGGCATTAAATACCAGGAATTTAGAGTTACCCCAGCAAACAAGGCTGGATGAGCCCAAGAAAAGGAACCATGTGTGGCACAAGTCAGTGAAACACCTTTCTTGTAGGGACTGCACCCGTCCCACCTACCATGAGGTGACCTCTGAGAACCAAGGGGACAATCTCGGTCTCGGGTGGGGAGTAGCCGTAATCGTCGCAGGGCAGGTCACCCCTCTTCCTCCTGCTGTGCGAGAGCCCGTTCTGCCCGTAGTTCTTGGGGCAGAACACCCGGTACAGGCAGAACAGCAGGAGCACCAGGATAATGCCCGAGGCCAGACCCAGAGCAGCCACCCTGGTGGGAGAGACAAACAGAAGACAAGATAAAGATTCAATTGCTAAGTCCACGGATAGATTTTGAAAAATACTGTGAAAGTGTTACACATGTTGCTGGTTTAAATTTTTCAGCTGAGCAAAATTTCTGATCAGCTATAGTGATTTCTGGAAAGTTACTGGGAAAAGTCAATTTCGACAAGATTTTCAGACTTTTCAATAAAAACACTATGTAGCAATTAAGACAGCGAGAAAAACACTAGATGGGGATGGGGGTAATATAAAGTGCGTTCAACACGGCCAGAGGAGAATGGCAGACTCAGACGGCAAGCTGGGAGCCCGTCCTCTCAGTAGGAAAGGAAGGTCCTTGCTTTCATGAGAGTTTGATCTAACACCCAGTAAAGCATTTATTCCCAAAGATGAACTCCTACCCCTGTTACCCAGCAATAAACCCTGTAACGCATCACGTGTGGAGCTAGGAGTAACAGTTTGAGCATCACCGAGCCAGTGCCAGCTGAGCCAGAGTGTCCTGAGAATTATGGGGTTTCACACTGAAGCTTTATAAGTATTTTTTGTTCTCTTTTTTTCCCTCCAGTCGAGGAACCAAACAGCCAAAGGGCAACTCAAGGGAGTTAAGGCACGGTCAGAAAGCCACGGGCTTGTTTACTTGTAAAGGGTGACATCCTGGTGACCCTGCAGCTTGGAGAAGGCTTGGTCAGGCTGAGCTTCAGCACCCGGCTTCCCGCCGCTCAAAGACAAGAAGGGGTGGTAGCGGTTCGCCTCCTGAGGATGCCGCACTTCTAAGGCCTCTTGTGGGTTCAGGTACAGCGTGACAGGGATTGCTGGAAGGATGCTGATGTATCTGAAGGAATGGGAAAATAGCTTAAGAACAACAAATGCAAAAAACCATAAAATTCCCAACAGGTTACCCAGCCCACCTTCTCACTGCCAGCCAAGGTAGGTCTCGCTGTGTACTCTCAGTTCACTAGTTTCTGGTATTCTAAGCTAAAGCCCTCCTTCAAAATATTTTTTCTCTAAAGATACTTCCCAGGTCTTAACCTTTAACTCTGTGGAAGAGGTTAACAGCCAAGAGTGGAATGAACTGCTGATGAGATGAAACGGAACACAGAGATTTAAATAAGGATATAATGATCCAGCTGTCTGTACCCTGCAGGCAGAAGATCTCACCAGGATCAGATCTCTCTATTCCTCACATGCACCAGCCCCATCGCTCACAGGTGACCATATATTGTTTTACAAAATTCTAAACATCACCTCCAGGGTAAAGGAAGACAAGAAGCATGTAATACACCCAAGGGCACGGGGAGAAACACAACCACCCTTATTCTCAGACAAACAGTCCTGGAGTTTGGTAGCTCTGCACCATGCAGAAGGGGCTGTTCAATAGTCTACTCCTGGAGACACATTTGGAGTAAGTCTCATGGGAATACAAATTATCTAACTCAGAAGGGTGATGGACAAAAGAAAGAAAAACGCTCGGGGTCAATTCCACGGGGAACTTGAAGTGCCTGTGGCACTCGACTCAGCTCACTTGCCTTTTGGCCAGAGTGATATTGTAGTAGCCAAAGAGGGATGGCCAGTGTCTGAAGGAAAGCTTCCTCCAAACCTCCTCATCCTCTGCTCCCCAGGTAACCTCTGCTTCAGCTCCAAGCTCCGTCTGTCCATTCCCTTTGCCCTCTGGTCCGTGGGCCCATGTGTGCTGGTTTGTCTCCAGCCTGCTCAGGGACTCCAGCCCTGACTTCTGCTCACGCTGCTGTGTCTGGTTCTCTGACAGCTGTATAGTGTCCGACGGGAAGACTGAGAGATCGATCTTGGGGTCCCCAGCAGGCAGGACCCCTCCAGGAACAGGCATAGGCGGTAGCCCTGCTTCACCCAAAGGACTTTGTTCGGTGACCTGTGACGTGAGGTAGGTGCGGAGACCAGCAGGATCCGTGTACACCAGGATTCCGATCCAGATCACCGTCCCAGCCTACACCATGAGCAAAGACAGAAGCAGGTTTAGTCCTCCACACTCCTCCTCAGCTCCCTGAGCTGATCAACATCCCAACCAAGGGTTCGCCCTGCGCTCGGTTACGGTCTTACTCCCAGCAGACACACAAAAACCAAACAGAACTTTTCCAGGAGCCATCTGTCTCAACCTCATGGTAAGAACCCGACTTCATCCCCCACAAACACACAGCAGGGAAGAGACTCTTTGCTGCCGGCTGTCTGGCACCCTCAGACAGGGCTGGAAAGGGTTAATTCAGGGTTCTGAGCTCTGTAAGACCGACTGCAGCAGCCACGGTTCACAGCCTGAGTATTAATTTAACTTAAAGTGCCACCAGTGTTGACACTAACAGACTGGGCTGCGGTTTGTAGAATCGAGGAATGTGCACATTCCTCTGCTTCCAGGGCAGACACCCAGAACAGACATGGAGGGAGAAGCAGGGGCAGTAACTGGTGCAACCGCTGCAGTTACACCTGCAAAAGGAAAAGCCTTAATCTTTCGTGTAGCAAAATATCTCCATGGCTTTATTCCACATTATCTGCAAGAACAAAACCTGATTTCTGCCTGTAAAAATCTCTCTCCACTCATACAGTCCTTGAAAATCTGCTTACATAAAACCAGATTTTTGTCTCAAAGCAAATATCAAAATTACTCACTGTGACCCAAACATCACACAAAGAGCAGAGCCCTGGAGCTAAGGCATGCAGAGCAATGTTCTTAGGGAAGTTCTTGAACTGTATTTACCATGGGGCAGCTTAAGTCTTGCAGGGAAACAAGGATGCATGAAAATGTTGGATTTTTTTCCCTCCCCAGAAGCCTGTTGGGGTTGGGTTAGTGTCCAGGAGGATAACAAACACCACACGGCATACACACCATGATGAGTCTCTGGGCCAGCCGGGTCCTGGCAAAGAAGTAAATCACCCGCAGCCTCTTTGGCAGGCGCAGATTCCTGAAAGATGACGGCTGCAGGGTGATGGTGTGGGGGGTGGCAGGTCGCATGGCTGGCTGGCGTTCGTAGCGCTGAGAGCGGCTGACGGGCTTCGCTGGGGGCATGCAGGCTTCCGCCGGCAAGCGTTTGTTCAGATCAGCAAGCTGTCAAGAGAAAAGCAAACGTGTGAGAACCCCGGTGATGAGATTCTCTCGGTCCCTCGACAGAAATGTGTGTGCAGTCAGCTACATTCAATACATGCCTAGGTCTGAGCTCCCACCTTCACCCTCCAGTAAATCTGTCCCAGCTTCTCTCCAGCACATGCTCTCTTCTTCGCTCTCTTCTGTTTGTGACCATGTCTCCCTCCAGCCCATTTCACCCAAATCTGTGCATTTATATACCTGAGGGGGTCTTGTTCCCTCAAGTGTCCTGTCCCCAACCCCTGTGTATAGGTAACCCAGCAAGTACTGCCCCAGAACTTTTACAGCCCGGTCTTTTCTATTTAGAGAGTAAAAAATCACAAGCTGTGCTTCCTTTAATCCTTCCACCATAGCAGAGAAGGAAAACCCAAGGCAAAACCCCGTGGTTCTTGGCTCTTCCCCACCTCCATACGGCGAATGTCGATGGACAGCACGGTAGTGAAGAAAAACATCTGCAGAAAGAAGTCAGACACCAGGCCGACCACGGCGAAGAGGCAGAACTCCTGCAGACAGGACACAGTGATTAGCTACGGCAGCTGCAGAGACAACAGTAAATATTCCAACTTCAGAAAAAGGGAAACTCAGCAAACTCTTAGCCGGAGTGCAGCCCTGAGTCTATTTTGCTGACAAGTCCTATTATTGATGTTTTGTAATAGTTGAGAGTTTGGTGCTAAAAAAGTCCACTGAGAACTCAAGAGCAGATTCAGATTCGCATTCTTTGTTCTTCTCAGCCATAAAACACTAAAGAACTACAGGAAAAATCAGCAGAGGGTGTTTCCCCAGTTCACAAAAGCTGCGGCAGGGCTGCAACCAGAGCTCCTCAGTTCATGTCACAAGGCCTAACAGCCTCCAAAGGTGACAGTTTCCTGCATGTCCCCAATAACCCTCAGCCCTAGCTGAAACCCCTCCAGGAACATGGGTTGCTCAGGACCTGCATCGATCTCTCTCCAGCCACAGACAGACCCCTGCAGTCCCTGTACGTCTGTGTACGTGTTTGCAGCCACTCTCCAGGGTCCCAGCTAAAGCATTTCTGCTGAAAGCACACTTTGGGCTAATGTTTATTTGATGGGCAAATTTCATCCCTGTGCCCTGGAAGAAAAGTCCTAGAACCACTCTCACAAGTCTCTAAACAACAACTACACGGAAACAACCCAGTGTTTGCTGAACGTCCTGTAATGCTCTGCTTTCCCCAGCAGGTGCCATTGCAGAAATAAGGATTAAAAGGTTCTGCCCAGTAGCACAGATGCAGCCAGCTCCCAGATCATCCCTGTAAAATAAATGCACACCCTTACCCAAATCCCCATCAGTGCCAGCCCCTCTCCCCCACTCCATCCCAAACTTCACAGCAACATAGAATTAAAATATTTTTGAGAGGCGTTTTGTTTCCCTTGGAGGTACAAATTTCTGTCAAGACCTGTCAGGACCCAAAAAAGATCTCGTAAACATGGAGAGATCAAGAAAGCTGAACATAAGCAGAAGTGAAAACCTTAGGCTAAACAGCGGATGAAAGATTCTGGCCCTCACTTGCAGAACAGAGCTGGCAAACGTCTGCTGCCACTCGCTGGCATGCCCCAGGCGTGGTGGCACGCTCACAAACTGCAGACCAAGCCAGGACACCTCCAAGGGGAAGGAGAGAGGCCGCACAGATTCGTTTCTTTCGTCCCTCTCCTTCCGATGTCTGCCCCAGCTTCTTGCATAAGGCTGGAGGCCAACACCAGCAGAGTGAAATAAGAAGAGAGAGCGTGAAAGGCTATCCAGAACCTCCAAACAAACCTTGCAGCCTCCCCGTCCTGTAAAAACTGTCCTCGACACATGGGCAATCAACTGCTCGTTATTTAAAAATCAGCGTGATATGAAATGAGATAACCCACCAGCAGCTCAGCTGCCCCTCCCCAAACCTCCCAGCGACAAGAAGAAGCAGGTTCTGATCAGGTTTTTTCTCTTTAGCTCCATCCCCAACACCTGCCAGGAGGTTTTGGGAGCAGAGGATGAAAACACAACACAGGTTCCTCTCTCAAGGAGAAAACCAGAAGGAAAGCAACATCCATCTGGATTTCACCCAAACCTCGGTGAACACAGACTCCACCAACGGCAGGCTCTGCACAGAGACTAATTCTGTTAACACCTCCACTTACTCCACTCAGGATTAGAGACTTCTGAAGCTGCTAGCCCTGGAAATCAAAAATCTTCTTATACGTGGATACTGCACACCCTATGGCAAAACCCAAAGAGATTTCTGGGGTGCAGGGCTGGGCTATCAGTGTACGAGCTCCAGAACAAGGCAGTGGATAAGAGGTGGAAGTCACAGGGTGAGCGCTCAGCACGCACCCCCGCAGCATCTCAGGGCCTGCGACAGTGCCAGAGGAACGGGGGTCTCTACCCACCTGCAACGCAAGACAGGAGGATTTCACTGCTGCTCGCAGTTACACGGGATTTAAAGGGAATGCAGACAAACTCTATTTTAGGACAAGGAGAGCGACAAAAAACATAGAAAATCCCCTCCTGCT